AAAAATGCACTCCGGCAGCAAGTGAATGCTCAAAACTTAATTCACATTACGCCGCCGTGCAAACCCCTGCTAAGAAAAATAAGCACTTACCAGCACTCTTTCTCTGCAACAAGCTAAACGAGTTTGAATGGCGTCTCAAGGACACTAAATCGGACATAGAAATTGTATCTGAGACGTGGTTCCAAAACGACGTTTCCCCTGACATGCTTGACATCACGAACTAGTGCATAGTGGTTAAGGTCAGACCATATCGCCTCCTTTTCCAGAATTGCAAAATGTGCAGTGTATTTCCCACCTGACTCACCACATGGTGATATCCTCATTGATCAATTAGTAGAGACTATTGATGCACTACAAGTGAAACACCCTGCCATAGTTTTGTTTATCGGAGGTGATTTAAACAGGCAGGATCTCTTTAATCCAAGATGGACGAGTACTTCCCCACCAAAACAGTGAGGCTGCACAACCACGACAACCCATGGATGACAGTGGAGATCAAGGCCCTAATCCAAGAGTGTAAAAAAGCCTTCTCCCAGAAGAACACTGTCCTATGGAACAAGTTGAGGAACAAAATACAATGCAAGATCAGAACAACTAGGCAGGCCTTCTACAGTGATAAAATCAAAGCACTGAAAAAACAAAATCCAGCGAAATGGCACAAAGAAGTCAAGGCTTTGGCCAACATCTTTAAGTTTGAGCCCACCTTCCACATTGAGGGGCTTAGCCCAGGTGATGGCCGAGGAATAGCCAATGAAATTAACAAATCACTAGCCTCTGTGATCTAGTTCATACCCCCCATCGACCATTACAGCTTCCCTCCTATCTACCATGAAGAATAGCTCCAACCATCCAGCATGGGATATGTATGAGAAGTTGGTTAAGGTGAAAACCCAAAACCCAAAAAGCAGACAGAATACCTGGCAGGTTCATTAAAGAGTTTGCTTACGAGCTAATTAGACCCATGGTCAATATCCTAAACGCTTCCCTCAACCAAGGTGTGGTCCCTAAGGAGTGGAAAGCTGCTTCTGTGGTGCCCCTCCCAAAGTCGAATCCACCCAGCCTTGCTGAAATCAGACCCATCTCCCTTACCTCCCTTCTAGACAAGGCAGCCGAGAGCTTCATCTCCCAGTGGGCAGTAGGAGACATCCTTCCCCAAATCAATGACTATCAAGGGTCTGTACAAGCATTCCGACAAGCTTGGCTTCATCTGCTCACTGGTCACCACTGACTATAGCAAGGCCTTTGACAGGGTCTGCCACAATGTGGTCATCGCCAGACTCCTAGACTTGGGGCTTCAACCATCACTAGTCAGGTGAATTGCTGACTTCCTATCTAACAGGCACCAGGCAGTTAAGTACCATGGCTCCATGTCGGACAGTGTCAGAGTGTCATGTGGCCTCCCTCAGGGAACATTGCTCAGGTCCATGAAAGTCGTTACATATATAAACACCACAGTAAGCGACGCAACAGTACAACACTGGAAGTTCATGGACGATTTGAACCTACTAGAGGACAGACCCCAGACTGCACCCTCTTCAATCCAACAAGACCTGTCCGACCTGGAGTCATGGTGCAACTATAGACTATTGATGAGTTGAGAAAGTCACAATAAAGCTTGCGCTCTGTTCCTTTCCTGCACACAGCTGTTCTCTCATCAAGTGATCATATTTTCACCCATCAGACTATTTTCAATTTAATCTTAACTAATATGTAAAATTCTTTACTAATATGTAAAATTAGTTGATATTTAGAATGATCCATTATTAAATGGGAAGGAATAGGGTCAGGGGAAAAATAAATGTAATATGTATGCCCTCGAATAGCAAATGAAGGCCGCTTTCCCTCCGGTCCATTTTTCAATGATGCCTGGTAAGCTACTTCAGTTTTATAGTGGTGCTATGCTTCATTTTTTAAATGATGGCTGCCTGGTAAGCTACTTCGGTTTCATAGCGTTTCACTCCACGGATCAACCACTGTTTGAGGAGCATGCTCTCGCTGCGCGACAGGTGATATTCCGCCCAAGCTCTGTATACCATGGGCTCTCCAACCCTTTTCCTGCAGCTACCCAGTCCTTAATTGTGAAATCTGTCCGGGAACATCGATAGTAACAGGTTTTTGCAACAAAACATATTTAACTAAACTGTTGAAAGCCCCTCTGCACACTCAAGAAAGGAAAAAAGGAGAGGGAGGAGATGGAAATGCATGGTGGTGAGATATTCTGTATAGCTAAAGGTAATGTGCCACACACTTAATTATTAAAATATAAAAAATCCCCTATTACTAGGCTATTCAAAATCAAATAAAAAATGCACTATAATTTTAGGCTATCTGTAAGCCGCCCTGCACAATCAATGAACCAACAGCATCGCATAGGGCTATACGTTCTCTCCCAGACTCATGGATACACATTTTGGAGCATAGCATAAGGTAACCAGTCCATCCAGTATGCATAATAATACAGTCCACACAGCAATTACTCTAATTTATAGTCTAGACCAATTATGTACCAAAGACATCTTAAATGAGTTTTGTTTTATGTTTTTCTACCATGTGTAATACACGGTAGGCTATGTATTGTATAATGGAACAATCATCATTTTAATTCTGGGTTTTTTTCAGGCATGGACTCACAAGCCTATGAGTATGCATAAGCTCTAATATGTGTATGGGTGTTTTGAATTAATCATCACCTTAGAAAGCACTGTCCATTTAGTTGTGTTAGGCTTTGAAACAACATCCACAATGACCATGATTTACACTCAGTTTCAACCTGCTGTTGAACTTCAAATTGATCATCACAGTGAGGTGAGTTTTAAAAGCATGATACTGTTTTCGATTGTATTTGCATTGATGTCAGAGTGGTTAGAGGAACAATAGAGCCCTGAGTACCAGGCCATTAGGACCGGATGGTCGTTGGCAAGTTCGGTACTACCAAAGCATGTCCAGAGTGCATAAGAGGAGATTACCGTGACTCAACGGTCACGTGGAATTTTACTGCAGTCATGATTCAGGGCTGCCGGTGTGGCGATAATACGGTAACAATAATACGCAACAGCCCTAGTCCAGAGACAGTCACATGATTCTCCACCAGCAGAAATGCAAAGTACTTCACACCTTCATCTCCAGAAAATCACCGGATCTACCATCATTGCACATCAATAACAGAGCTCCTGAGAGTTGAAGCCATAAAAATCCTAGGTATCCTCATCCAGGCAGATCTCCGTTGGACAACACAGGTGGATGCAATCTCCAAGAAGGCCAGTCAACCCCTGTTCCTCCTTAGGAAGCTGAAATATAGCTCCGTCCCACAGGAGGACATGGTGACGGTGTACACCACATACATACGGCATGTGCCAGTGTGCCACTCTGTTTTAACCAGCAAACAGCAGGACAGGATCTAGAGGATACAGGGCAGGGCGGTGAGCATCATACTAGGTGTGGAAAACAAAGGCTACAGCAACGCTTGCAACTGCCTCAATCTGCCCTCCCTGCAAACGCGTCTGGAAAACCGGACCGCAGAGTTTGAAAAGACCCTCCTCAAACCGGGCCTCTACCGACACGTGCTGCCCCCAGAACGCTCCTCCATCTCTGATCGTGTTACCCGGTCCTCAACAATGTTGGAACCCATCCAAGAAGCGTGATACCATACATGACTAGGCTGCTCAACCAGTACCATACATGACTAGGCTGCTCAACCAGTACCATACATGACTAGGCTGCTCAACCAGTACCATACATGACTAGGCTGCTCAACCAGTACCATACATGACTAGGCTGCTCAACCAGTACCATACATGACTAGGCTACTCAACCAGTACCATACATGATTAGGCTGCTCAACCAGTGAGCTATGGACAGCCACATCTGTCTTACCCTTAGCACTGACAGTTTTCCAAAATATATGTATTTTAAAGTTGTAGTTTTTATTGTGCTGATGATTTTGAATAGTGTATTTATGTGAATCGTGTCAAATAATTAATTGATACCTTGTAATGTCGAATTTGAAATAAACCCTTCTATATAAAGGTTCTCCTGGACTCCATTTTGTTTTTACAGGCCATGTTCCTAGTGTGCTTGTTTTCACAGTTTGACACCATTAGATTTAGTTACAAGCTGCTTTATTCCCTCACAGCCTTTTAACTTCATCACGTCTTCAAGTCTTATTGAATTGTTTTAAAGGCCAGTGAGAGAGGGAGAGAGAGAGAGAAAGAGCGAGAGCGAGAGCGAGAGATAACTCATTAACTCAATCTATTTAACTCCAACTTGGTCGAATTAACCCAACATGACCACTCTGTCTCCACTTAACCAATTAACATAAATGTAATTATCTGAATCCACATCTAAAGCTCTACTCATTAAGTTATATTCTAAGAACAATAAACTCTGCAGTATATCTGTACACTATATCTTTCATCTCCTGTTCATTTTTCTCCGTACCAGACCACAGATACAGGGGCAGAAATAGGTCGTCTTTGGGGTTGGAGGAAAATGGTCTGCATATCAAATAGTCTAGTGTTTATTATTTCTGAGACTTATTTATGTAGCTTTTTTCTGCCTGTTTCTTCAGACTGTTATTCTCCACTTGCTTCCTGACCGTTCAGTCCAGCCACACACACACACACAAAGGCATGCACGCACAAACACACACACACACACTTCCTGACTGACTGGTCAAGTCGTGTCTGGTCTGGTCTGGAGGCTAGCCAGCCTGTCTGTGGCTAGAAAAACACAGGCAGGTCTAAGACCCTAGCTATCAATAACAAGGAAGTGGAGGGGGAAACGCTGGTGTGTGTGTGTGTGTGCAGGCTCTTCTGAGACCTATCTATAACAGGGAAGTGGAGTGGCGAATGCTAGCAGCTGACATAAATCTTGACAGGGGCACGGCACGTTGGAGTATAAATAGGAGCTCTTCATGTGTTTCCTCACAGCTATTTACCTCAACTCACACCAAACAGACACAGGAAACAGCTACTCGCTGTGTGTGTAAGTAGACTCACATGCTTTATGAAAAGTTGGGCCAGTCTCTCTGGTTCTGCTATACACTTCTCCAGTTCCCCCAGGAAGTAGCTAGACAGAGAGAGAGAGATAGGTTACACACACACTATCACACACAATCACACTCTCCACAGTACATCTTCGATACTCACTCTTTATGCCAGTCGAACATTTGGTGAATGTTTCCAAATACAATCTTGTCTTTTCCCTTCATGTCCTCAGGTATGCCCTTGGTATTCATAGTGGCCATGTAGCCCTGTAGAGGAGACACACACACACACACACACACACACACACACACACACACACACACACACACACACAACCTCAGATCAGATATACTGTATGTGACTGACTGGGATTCGAACCCTGGTTTCCTGCACACAACAATAATAATAATAATAATAATATGCCATTTAAGACTGTGTTAACCTGCTGAGCTAAAGCCTATGTATTACTGTAATATATACTGTACATACCTACCTGGAGAATAACTATTTCTGACTTGGAAAAATATAGGCATGTCGCTATTATGTTGCTATAACAACACTGGGCCCAAATGAACTTTCTGAAATCTTCAGTTTTGCTGAGACAATAATTTCTTCACCTACAGTGTATATCCACCGCTGTCATTGTAACATGATAGTAATCTAATATATATATATATATATATATATATATATATATTCATCCCAATAACAGAATGGCAGTTTTTGGAGCCAGACCAAGCTATGTTGAAAGAAACTGAAGGTATTGTGATGACAAGGATTTCAAGGCCAAGTAATAGAATACGTGGGTGGGGGTTCTTCTTATGCCTTTGTTGATACAAAAGGCGAAGGATTTCAAACTTCTTAAGCCGCTGTTGATATTACTGTGATTGAATATGGTTATAATGCTGTATTCTCACCTCTACTATGAACCTCAGGTCTTCCACATACAGTTTCTCTGTCTCTATGAGTTCCTTCAGTACGTACCTGGACAGAGAGACAGAGGATGACAAATACTGCAGACTTTTGGTGCCCCTGTCATCCCCATCAATACAAAATATTTGCAAACAGTCTTGTCCGTTTAAGATGACACAGTGACACTCTCATGTAACTGCTGTCAGTGTGTTGATACTTATGGCAATGCTGTGTTGTACATCAAACTTTGGATCAGTTTTAGAGTGAAGAATAGTAAGGGCAGTGTTGTGTTGTGTAACTAAAGGTGAACCACTTACATGCTCTTTTCTAAGGCACTCCTCCTCTCCTCATTGTCAGCTGCGGCTGATGATTGGCTGGAGGTGTCGTCCATCAACACTGAGCCGTTGTCATCTGGATAGACATTGGTGGGCTGAGTATCCTGTTGAAACAGAGGGGACAGGGAATACGGTTAGGATATAATCTGTGGTCCGTTGGCATTTTTAATATAGCAGGAGAGAAAAAGGGTGAGGGAAATATCCAATTGAGGGATAGAGAGGCAATGTAACGGGGGGTGAGGGAGGGAGAAATTGAGGTAAAGAGAGAGAAAGGCAAAGTGAGGGAGAGAGGGAGGGGAAATTGAGGGAGATGAGCGAGAGAGAGGCAAAGTGAGAGCGGGAGAGAGAGGAAGGGATGCAGACAGGCAAAAGGAGGGAGAGAGAGAGGCAAAGTGAAAGAGAGAGGGAGAGAGGATAATGATGCAGGTTGCCAAGGTGACCAGGGAGGGAGAGCAGCCAGACACTAGGGACAGTGACAGAATGATAAGGGGATCTGATTGTCACCAATAATAGTGTATGGTGTGGAAAAGTCACCATGAAAGAGAAAGACAGAGGGAGAGAAAGAAAGAGAACAGGGTAGGTAGAGACAATAATTTGACAGAATGTCTTAGGTATAGAATTACATATAATTTAATTGGATCTCTGTGGTGTTAGCATAGCACCCAATTAGGGCTGGACGATATGGCCAAAATATCATAGCACTGTATTTTTCATTTTTTTTATGGTATTTTATGTTTCTGAATAATAAAAGTTCTAAATATGCTTTATGGGTTGTGCATGACACTAGGATGGCAAGACATTAATTGTAAGTGGTTTTAATGGGCTTTCTCCATTCTGATTGTTTTAAACTGTTCAGCCAAACTGTTCAGCCAAAACTGACAGTGAAGTCCTATTGTGCATAGGAATCAAAATCCTCTTTTGTAGCCTCTAACTCTGGTACTCTACCAATGGTTGCTATTTCCATAATTATTTGTTCAATTCCAGCATTCACTTCCATGATTTTATCAAGTTATTCATTTCCTGCACTAATTTGTTATCATTTAAACATTGTGTCACGTTTCTTTTTACCTTAGTATGTCTCTATAAAAAATAAATTGTTGGCAGAATAATTATTCTCCTCTTTGACTGCATTTATGGCTTCAATTGTAGTTCTTACTTTCGGCACTTGTAGTCCATGAGCCAGACTCCCAAATTTGGGACGTCAGGCTCACTTGGGGTGACGATGTCTCAAATATATTTTTTTGAAAGTGTATGTCCATAGATTTCAAAATGTATCAGGGTTTCCTTTTAAAAGCAATTTATACAGGTAATTCTGATATGTACCCTAGAGGTCAAAGCTCAAAGTTCTGTTGACCTGAACCTTCCGAACTTGTGTCTAAATATGCTGATGGATAGCTGTGAATCTAAGCTGTGAATCTAAGCTTTCCAATGATTTATGATTAAAGGGTATAAGTGTACAATACCTTGTTGTATACTGACATTGTTTGTCATAGGGTAACATCCCTATGGGAAAAAATGAATGGAATGGAGGGATGAATGAGAGACTGATAACACAGAGAATGCTGCCATTGCTGCACTGCTATCACACATTTTCCAACTCTAGAGACATAGATTTTTTTTAAACTCACCACTATGAGACATCGTCACCCCAAGTGAGCCCGACCGACCCCATGGCTCATGCACTATGGGGTAGTCGGCCATTTTTCTGTGGGTCTGTACTCCCAGAGTTGTGGACTTGTTGTGCTTGCAAGTTAGCTAAGATAGCAGTTCTCTTCTCAGCTGTTAGCAGTGATTTTTTCGAGTCATTACTGAATTATTTAATGTAACAAACATTACAATACTGTTATAGAAGGTAAAGTAAAAATCCAAACCAGTCCGTGAATGAATACCGGATATAATTTTTTACGGTTTACTGCCCAGCCCCTACACCCCAGGACGTTGGTGGCACCTTAATTGGGGAGGACGGGCTCGTGGTAATGGCTGGAGTGGAATCAGTGGAATGGTATCAAATACATCAAACATGGTTTCTATGTGTTTGATGCCATTCCATTTGCTCCGTTCCAGACATTATTATGAGCCGTCCTCCCCTCAGCAGCCTCCACTGCTCTACACCCAATGTAGAAATAGTAGGGTACAGACCAGCACTGAACATTGTGTCAGCATAAACATCCAATCCCAATCCATTCAGGAAGTGTGCGACATAGTAAACAATCAGTTGGGTTGATGAGGTACGCATGAGTGCCTTTTCACAGGCTACTTTCCTGGAACTTAGATACATTCCCAAGGAGATCCCTGAACATTGAAGCATTGTCTCTACACTACAGCAACGCTTGTATGAGCAGTAAGATACACTGTCATGCTTGTGTGAGAAATGAGCATCTCTTGTTCATTGGCCACAGTCTTCTGCTCTTCATGTACATGTCTTAGAATAGAACTGAATGTGTGTTTGTCAACCTTCTTAAGACATGCACACACTGACTCCCCTGTTTAAATGGTCGGCAAACCACTCTTCCTTTTCTTGTGAAAGTCTCCCTTCTTTGTTGAGCAATGTTGTTCAGCTTCATCAGCTTTCTTTCTGCTTATTCATTCACTCGTGACTGAGTAAACCCTCTGTCTGTCCTCACTTCTAGGCCTCCATGTTCCAGCCATGCACATCTTCTCCGACTTAGACCCACAGTACACAACTAATCAAACACCCACATCCTAAACACACTCTACACACGTAGATACACTATATATTCAAAAGTATGTGGACACCCCTTCAAATTAGTGGATTCGGCTATTTCAGCCACACCCGTTGCTGACAGGTGTATAAAACTGAGCACACAGCCATGCAATCTCCATAGACAAACATTGGCAGTAGAATGGCCTTACTGAAGAGCTTAGTAGACTTTCAACGTGGCACCGTCATAAGATGCCACCTTTCCAAGAAGTCAGTTCGTCCAATTTCTGCCCTACTAGAGCTGCCCCAGTCAACTTTAAGTGCTGTTATTGTGAAGTGGAAATGTCTAGAAGCAACAACGGCTCAGCCGTGAAGTGGTAGGCCACACTGTCCTCGGTTGCAACACTCACTACAAACTGCCTTTGGAAGCAACGTCAGCACAAGAACTGTTTGTCGGGAGCTTCATGAAATGGGTTTCCATGGCCGAGCTGCCGCGCACAAGCCTAAGATCACCATGCGCAATGCCAAGCGTCAGCTGGAGTGGTGTAAAGCTCGCCGCCATTGGACTCTGGAGCAGTGGAAACGCGTTCTCTGGAGTGATGAATCACGCTTCACCATCTGGCAGACCGACAGACGAATCTGTGTTTGGAGGGTGCAAGGAGAACGCTACCTGCCCCAATGCATAGTGCCAACTGTAAAGTTTGATGGAGGAGGAATAATGGTCTGGGGCTGTTTTTCATGGTTCGGGCTAGGCCCCTTAGTTCCAGTGAAGGGAAATCTTAACGCTACAGCAAACAATGACATTCTAGACGATTCAGTGGTTCCAACCTTGTGGCAACAGTTTGGGGAAGGCCCTTTCCTGTTTCAGCATGACAATGCCCCAGTGCACAAAGCGAGGTCCATACAGAAATGGTTTGTGGAGATCGGTGTGGAAGAACTTGACTGGCCTGCACAGAGCCATGACCTCAACCCCATCGAACACCTTTGGGATGAATTTGGAACGCCGACTGCAAGCCAGGCCTAATCGCCCAACATCAGTGCCCGACCTCACTAATGCTCTTGTGGCTGAATGGAAGCAAGTCCTCGCAGCAATGTTCCAACATCTAGTGGAAAGCCTTCCCAGAAGAGTGGGGGCAGTTATAGCAGCAAAGGGGGTACCAACTCGATTTTAATGCCCATGATTTTGGAATGAGATGTCCACATACTTTTGGTCATGTAGTGTATGTGGTATTAGAGTAGTGGCCTGAGGGCACACACTTAATGTGTTATGAAATGTAATGTCATGTAATGTTAAGGCAGTTATATACAATTTAATGTTGCTGGACCCAGGGAAGAGTAGCTGCTGCCTTGGCATCAGCTAATGGTGATCCTTAATAAATACAAATACAAATACAAAAACAAATCCCTGTGACTCCTCTGCCAGTCTCCCTGATGGATGGAGGGTACTTTCTCTAGTTCACCACCAGCCCTGCCCTCTGGCCTGGTTCAACCTGTTCAGCCGCTATTTGTTCAAATGTTTACTCCCGCCCAGACTCCTCGGCATAGCTATATGTTCACCTGTGGCCTTTTATTTCCAATCAACTTCTGCAAATGTAACCTTTTACTAAAGATGTAGAGTACACAGTGGTTGTGTGTGTCGGTCTGGCTGTCCGTCTGTGTGTGTGCATGTGTGTGTCCTAGCTTTCCTGCCCTGGCTGACAGGTCTCTCCCTGACTGCCTGATCCTGATCATTACCACATGTCCTCTGCTCTGGTAGAACCCCAAAGGAAAGAACACTCTCTCTTTCTCCACCCCCCCCCCCCTCTCTCTTTACTCCTCTATTTTTGCTTGCAAAAGCTTAATAAAAGCTGAGATCACGGCTGTTGTTGTTCCTACAGGAAAACAATCCCTTAGTGAGGTGGAGGTAGTGTGTGTGCTTGTGGGCGTGCATGGTGATAAAACTATATTCTATGAACTCTCCAAACTCTTCCTTTCCTACTTGAAGGAGAAACTATGAATCTCTCAAAGTGCATCCAGACAGTAACAGTCCAGACAAACGTTTATCTCTCCTGAAGAGAGGAAGGAAAACCCCTTTGATAAATAGAGCAAGCTGAGCTATAACTCTTGGTGCATTTTAGTCCAGTTTCTTGGGTAACAGTACTACATTGTTTGACTGTTTGACTGAAGTCCGTCGAGGAATTTTCCGTTGACTAACAAATAATAAACAATTGATCAAACTGGGCCTCTGTAGGAATGTTAGGTCAGATTAGCAGATCAGTATCCTGAATGAAGAGGTAGAGGAAGAGGAAGAGAGGGAAATAGGGTAAGCACTAAACAGAATGTACTGTATATGAGTTAAAGAGAAAGGGAATTTACTAGAATGTGTATAAGAGTGAATGAGAATAAGAAATTGGCAGAATGAAAGTCTAATCTTTTATCTCCTGAGGGTGGTCAGAAGACAAAAACAGAGAGAGAGAGAGAGAGAGAGAGAGGGCAAGAGAGGGAGGGAGAGGGAGAGTGAGAGAGAGAGAAAGCAGAATGACAGAAGCCATGACCCTGAGATGACTGACCTACATACTTTAATCCCCCTCTTTCTTTCGCTCAATTTTTCTAATTCTCTCTCTTTCTCTCACACACTCTCTCCCGTTCCTTTTCTCCCTGTCCCTTCTGTCTCACTCTCTCTCTCTTTCGCTCACTCTCTCTCTCTCTCGTTCTCCCCCCTCTCTCTCCCTTTCCCTCTCTCTCCACCTTGTCTCTGTCAGTACAGACGGAACCAGTGATCTCATTCCCTTCTCTCCCCTGTCTCTGTCTGTGTATAATCCTGCCACCAGAGCCTTATGACTGACTGTTATTATGACTGAATTGTTATTCCCCACAGCCAGAACTGGAGGGGAATAACAGACTTAGCAGACTGATGTGGTGGTCTGGTGCACCTGGGTCGTGTTTAGCAGGGCACACTGTAACAAAACGTTTTGCAACGGAAAACAAAAATAGGTGTTCTAATTGGACAAGTTCAGATATAGCTCCCTTGTTCCACTGAGTTTTAAAACCTTTATCAATACTGACCCTTAAGAGTCCAGTTAGTCCTGTCTCTCTTATGTCTGCCTGACGCAGTATCCATTATCTAGGCCCGATTACAATCTTCTCTGTTTCAAATGCCATCTATCCCATTTGCTGTTGCCGTTCACACTTCATTCCCAATGTTTGATGTGTAAATGAAACAGGTCATTGTGTGGACCTTGTCATTTCCAGGAACACATGTCATCTTCCATTAAATTTCTCCTCTGTGCCATTTCCTTTTTATCTGGAGGCATGTTCTTTGTAGTTGAATGTGAAGCATCCATCACACAGAACCCTAACAAGGGGTGCGTCCCAAATTGCACCCTATTCCCTATATAGTGCGCTACTTTTGACCAGAGACCTATAGGGTGCCATTTGGGCCATAGCCTTGACAAACCTTCCCCACTGGACTGCCTCCTATTGATGAACTCTGAGAGGGCCTTGTGTTAATCTAGGTGTCTGTCCGTCTGTCTGCGTGTGTGTCCTTCTGTGTATGTTTGAGACAGAGAGAGTGTGTTTGATCTGCCAAGCCCAGCAGCAGCGGGTGGGGGGGTTGTGAGAGGGGCTCCCTTTCAAATCCAGGTCTGTCTCAGGGCCATGGAAACAAAGCCTTGTGAGGTCACCATGTCCCTGTCTGGTTTTCCTCAGAGTAAATCTCCCCTAGTCCCCCACACTGAGCAGCAACAGAGCCAATACCGTCAATAGATTACCAATTCATTTCTTCAACAGTTCAGTGCGATTTATTGTGTTGTTTTAGGTTGGATAAGTTGACTGAGTATGTGCTCTCTGACCCTGTTGATAAGATGGATTGCATGACTGTATTTACCTTGTTTAGCCTCCTGGACCTAGGCATTTGCTCGGGGGCTAACACGAGTTGTCAGGTCTCAGGCAAAGTTTGTCAACAGGCAAACATGGTTCCCCAAACCACCTCTGTTACACAGGGCTGTAGGTGTGAACTCAGAGTGTGTGTGGGTGTGTGTGGTGTGTGTGTGTGTGTGTGTGCGCACGCGCGTCGACTCACCTGTGTGTAGGCCAGTGAAGTACAGCCTTGTAGTGAGTCGGACAGGTAGCTGGGAGAGTTTAGGGTTGCTGGGGAGAGGTCCTCAGGACTGGCCAAATTATACCTGCACTCCTACAACACACACACACACACACCGCATGAGCACACACATACACACAACAGCGAGACAGAAGGAACACGATTCCTCAACATAACACAGCAACATTACTCAACACATCAACATGAATCAGTGTAACACTGTGACTGTGTCAGAAACATCCCCAGAGGTGAGAGGCAGGACCACCATCCACAGTGTAACGAGCAGCATCAGCCCTGCCATAGCTATCACACTGTCCACCATGTGTTTACACTGGAGCAGTCATTCATAGTATTCATAGGCGAGGTATTGTACTGTCAATAGGCTGTGGTTAGGGAAGCTAAGTAGAGATAAAACATACTGTATATCTATGGGGAAGCTGGCATTACTATATATTTACACAGGAAGACTTGTAGATCTGTGTTTGACAGACAGCTGCACTAAACAATCGTTAGTCTATTTACTATTGAGCCTGTTCATAAGCCTATGCTACCTTGTGATATGAGACATATATATCTAGCTATTATATACAGATTACTGTGGAGTTATACAGAGTATACTGATGAGTTTACTTTTGAGGAGGCACATTTCAGATCTGTCACTAGCCATAGTCCCAGTGTACAGTAGCTACTCCTCACTGTGATATATGTACACACCCGTATGTGTCGCAGGAGGTTGGTGGCACCTTAATTGGGGAGGACGGACTCGTGGGAATGACTGGAGCGGAACAGGTGGAATGGTATCAAATACATCAAACACATGGTTTGATGCCCTTTCATTCCTTCCGCTCCAGCCATTATTATGAGCTGTCCTCCCCTCAGCAGCCTCCACTGGTACGTATGTAGGTCTATGGACACTACTGTACCCTTAATACTGGTGCTTAGCAATGCCTCTCCACTCACCATCTCTTTGTGTGTGATGGGTAGTATGGTGTTGAGGTGGTCCTCTGATCCCAGGGGGTTGCCCAGCCCCAGCCCTCCCAGGCCCAGGTCATGACTGTGGCGAGGGGGTGGAATAGGAGGAGGCGGCTTGCTTCCCTCATCCAACTTCCTGACCTGCCGCTCCCCCTTAGCGCTGGTGGAGATGTTGACGGCCCCGGCGCTGAGCTTGCGGACAGGATTGGTCAGCCACCTCTTCAGGGTGCTGACGGAACGCCGCGAGCCCGGGGAGCTGGGGGCGGAGGTAACGGACGCCGTCACGGTCGGGGGCAGGGATGCCACGGAGGTGGAGATGCTACCCTCGCTGCCCGCCGCTGAGTATGAGTCTGGAGAGAGAGAGAGGAGGGAAAGAGAGAAAGAGAGAGATATAAAGAAGGACAGTGGGAGGAAGAATATAATAGATACTTAGTTGTCCATTTTTTAAACGGAAATTGAATGATTTGCTATCACAATATCCAACCTCATACACAAACAAGGTTGGTAGCAGCACAGGGTCAGCTGGAGAGCAGCGGCATCAGAGAAGTTGGAGGGAGAGAGAAAGACAGAGATGGAGGCGGGCAAAGGTTACATAACCGGTCAAGAGAAGTCGGGGCTCGTGATAGAATGATAAACACTCTAAGTCAACTACTGGGATTTCTCAGGTCTCCTTATAGATGGATGGGAGTTTAACTAAGGCAAAGGGCAGCAGCAGACACACACCTGCATGGACACATGGTGAACCCCGGCAAACCACAACAACATCAATATAATAAGACAAAGATGGGAGTCAAAGTTTGGTGCAGAGCTAGAGAGGGATAAATCCAGCTAGCTAAATACTGGATGACCATAGAGCTGGATGACCATTGAGCTGGATGACCATAGAGTTGGATGACCATAGAGATAGATGACCATAGAGATAGATGAGGTATTCTGAGGAGAAAGCTCCCAGTTTAGTCCCCGTAAGGACAGAGGGATGGTAAGGTGATAGTGTGTTAACAGTAACCCTCCCCTCTCTCCCCCTCCCTCAACAGTAACACATCAGAGGAAGAGAAGTGGAGGGAAACCTAAATAAAGACGGCATGGAGAAGAGTATGAATAGGCTTTATTCGTCAACGCAGCTGTGTAGCTGTTATTAGTACAGCCATAGAGGAAACATTGTTTAGGGCATTTGCGGAGTTCACATTAGCCCAACCGGGCCACTCTAGTTTTAACACTGTATGTGAGCTGGTGTGGTATCACATGACACTGGTTGGTCTGGGGCAGATTTGAGTGGTTATGTTGGTTTACTTGTTTGGAACCGTGTGACTTCAACGATTCAAAAAATAGCCTAGACAGGATTATCTGTTCTTCAGTGATGTGGGACATGGGAAGCGAGTGGGGGGGGGGGGGTCTAGAATGGACAGGGACAGGACGTTCTCTTCAATCCAATGGACCGGAAGATCTTTGTCTGGTTATAGCTTTGCTTTTTGACTTATCCCTTTTCCTTCTCCCATCCATCTCCATTCCTCAGCCTCAGCCTGGGATAGTCTTTCCTGTAAGATGTGTGGTGGTCATCTTTTGGTTATAGCTTCGTTTTCTGGTCTCTTTTCCCCTTCCCCCATCCCTCCATCCCTCCATCCCCCATCCCTCCATCCCCCAGTCCTCCTTTCCGGTAAGATGTGTTGATGTGTGGCTGTGGTCTTTTATCTGTGGTGAGGACATAACTTACCCTCTCTTCCCATCCATCTCCCTGACCCCTGACCTTTAACCCCTGATCCTCTACTGTCACGCTGACTGCAGATGGGGGAACGCTTTGTAAGTTGTTTCTTCTCCTAACGGTGTTATCACTGATTGACAATGGCCGTGGCAATTTGTGAATTGGTTGTTATGTGAAGGTGGAAGTGGTTTGACCTCTTTTGCCTGATTCTTCATGTGAGAGAGAGAGAGAGAGAGAGATGATCTCACTACCATAGTCTAGTTTGCGTACATTAGTTGTCTGTAAAGCTTCTGCTGACATAAAGTCAGTGGCCCAATTTGTAAGTGTTTCTACATCAAAGCTAGTCGCCTCTATCAATCCACAATCCTTCTCAGTGTGTGTGAAATTATTCATTCAGGCTTAATTAAATATCTCCGTCTAAACACAAAGAACCCAGTATGCCAGTTTCAGTACAACGAGCCATGTGAAATGTTCCCTTCACTTCTCTTTTCGCCGTCAGTCTCTTTTGAGATCAAAACAAAAGAAGAATATTGTCTATAAATCATATTCTCTATGTCAATGTTTTCTATTAGATAAACATAGAAAAATTATGTCCATTTTGCAATAATCTTCCTCCTCCTCTTCCTCCTCCTCCCTACAGGGTTATTGCCTTGCTGATAGTTACCATAGCCATTAAAAACAATAAATACTTCAGCACATTCAATGCGCCCCTGCTGTGTGTGGCTATCTATCTATCTATCTACTGACTGTCTCTTCTCTTCGATCTAACATTGTTTCTTGTCTTCCTCAAAGTTTGGCTGAGGAGAACAGATTTGGTCCTCGGTCTCTGTTCAACATATCTGGCCCTAGTATAGATGTTTTATAGATGGCATGTGTGTGAGCTCAGAGTGGGCTGTTTTTCACGAAAACACCCACCCACCCACATGAAAGAGTGTAGAATCCAAGGGGATCTGAGGCTGGAGAGATGGGGGGATGAATGGAAGGAAGGAAGAGAGAAGGGAAGAGAGGAAGAGAGAAACAGAGGGGGTACAAAGAAGGGAGAAGTTGAATCCGGAGGGAGGGAGGGGAAGGAAACGGGAAACAAACACTGGTTAGGTCAGGAGAAGATAGAGAGAGGCACAAAAGGAGAGAGAAACCAGAGTGAATGATACCCTGTTACGTGAAATATCTGACATAGGAAAGAATCAGAAGCATCATTTATTTAAAAAAAAGCCTAAAGCACATGTCTAGGCAATAACTACAGCTAGTCTAAAGAGAATGGTGGAAATGGAGAGGGATCTTGAGCATTTATGATGGCACACCAAATACACACACACTCTCTTTTACACACACACACACATACACACAGGCAAGGGTTCTCAACTGTTTTCGCTCGCCTCCTTGGGAGGAAAGGAAACGTGGAAACAAATGCGCCTGTAAGAAAGTAGACTCGCACGTCATCAGACAAATGACGTTTACACAGGTGGAATCCCAAAAGAAATGTCTAAAGTGATAAAAGAAATGTAGCTAGTTGTGGCAGACATTTTCTAGATAAAACGATAAGTAGCGTATCGTTTTTAAATGTTTGCTTTTCTCCTCTGACTAAACAGCTAATTCAAAAGGGGGGGGGGCGATTTGAAAACACTTCCATGCTAGCCACCACGAGGATACTTGTGCATCCTCTGCTGAAGCAGCAATCGAGGATGGGAGCATAGTCCTCAGTTCGGCTACTAACAAATTGACACTTTCCTCGACAACTCGACCACATAACGGTTTCCGGGTCACGGAGGAGAGGAGGACAGAGGAGTCGAGGAGAGGACAGACATTTCCCAATTGAAAATCTCCCTATGTCTGCAGCCAGCCGTCCCTCCTCCAGTTCAGCTATTGTTAAGGGTCATGATTCAAAGCATGGACACAGCCAGTAACACCACCCTCAAACCCTAACCATCTCCAGACTGCATAGTACCCCAGCAGAATATGCTAATGCTAAACCAGTGGTGTGCAGTGGGAAAGCTACAGCTGAACCAGTCCTTACGGCATTCAGTGGGAAGAGACATTAAATGCCTGGAGCATTTCCAACATGGAACTGAGGACACCAGTAATCTCACACACATACTCACTCACAGGTCAGACTTTCCATTGACCCTCACCGGGGTCATAGATTGAGATCCGGCTCTCTATTGGTTTCTGTATTGTGTCTCGCAATCTTGTATGAAGGAGATATAGCTATAGAGCCATTCCATAATTGGTTCTCTCTTCTCTCTCTGTGTGTGAACAACAACATCAATGGGGAGACACACGTGAAAAAGCACTTCAACACAAACACACACACACTATAACACAGAGGCGCTCCGTCTCGTGATGGTGCTGGATAGTGAGGGGAGCATTGTGTTTCTATACACTTTGGAGATGGAGAAACATGTCCCCTGCTGCGATTCCTCTCACTGCATCCATCTCCCTCACTGCAGGCCACACATTCATACAAACACACTCAGACACACACACAAACTCAAGTGTGTGTGTGTGTGTGTGTGTGTGTGTGTGTTTGTGAGATAGACCTCTAACACACACACTTGAGTTTGTGTGTGTGTCTGAGTGTGTTTGTATGAATGTGTGGCACACACACACACACACTGCAGGCCCTCTCTCTTCATCTCTAATGGTGTTTTCTAGGAAGAGATTACACTGAAAGCTAGGTCATTTAGTTAATGCAGGTTCACCATTGTTTATACATGAAAGCTGACATCAGAAACACACACACACACACACACACACACACACACACACACACACACACACACACACACACACACACACACATCAGACAGACTGGGGTGATCAGTTAATGTTGCTGGGCTTACAACAAGACGCCCACACACTGTTCCTACTGTCTGAGTCTAGCTGATGAGACAAACTGTCTGCTTTCTGATGAGACAAACTGTCTGCTTTCTGATGAGACAAACTGTCTGCTTTCTGATTAGACAAATTGTCTGCTTTCTGATGAGACAAACTGTCTGCTTTCTGATGAGACAAACTGTCTGCTTTCTGATGAGACAAACTGTCTGCTTTCTGATGAGACAAACTGTCTGCTTTCTGATGAGACAAACTGTCTGCTTTCTGATTAGACAAACTGTCTGCTTTCTGATGAGACAAACTGTCTGCATTCTGATTAGACAAACTGTCTGCTTTCTGATGAGACAAACTGTCTGCTTTCTGATGAGACAAACTGTCTGCTTTCTGATGAGACAAACTGTCTGCTTTCTGATGAGACAAACTTTCTGCTTTCTGATTAGACAAACTGTCTGCTTTCTGATGAGACAAACTGTCTGCTTTCTGATGAGACAAACTGTCTGCTTTCTGATGAGACAAACTGTCTGCTTTCTGATGAGACAAACTGTCTGCTTTCTGATGAGACAAACTGTGTGCTTTCTGATGAGACAAACTGTGTGCTTTCTGATGAGACAAACTGTGTGCTTTCTGATGAGACAAACTGTCTGCTTTCTGATGAGACAAACTGTCTGCTTTCTGATGAGACAAACTGTCTGCTTTCTGATTAGACAAACTGTCTGCTTTCTGA